TGTCTTTATTCTCTTCGATGTGATTTTACGGTAAGAATTTTCCGAAAAAGGCACCAATCGAAATTTTTGATCGGCTCCGGATTGAAGAAGGCCTTCTACAAGAAATCATTACAGCTCACAGGTGTACATAGCAAGACGTGGGCCTCTGTATTGCTTGAAAAGCATGGAACCACGGCCTCTCTTCTTTACCAACAGCAAATTTCTTTAACTGTCTAAGATCCTTGTAGCATGAAGTTTTGTAATACACATAAGAAGTAGAGAAATGGCAAAACCTTAATCTTGTTTCAATATTCATTAATTGTTTTTTTCATTTACTTGCTTCATTTATGACTGAGATGTATTGGGTACATTTAATTAATTTTTAGGGCAAATAATTTAGAAAAACGTGTGAGAATAGACAGAATCGGTTATTAAATTCATCAACTGAAACCGAACACAAGCCAAGCAAAAAAAAGGAAAGACTATCCCTTTTGGGCACCAAAACATGTATGCTAGTTATTCAGAGGCAAAAAACGGACCAAATAAGGAAGCTTGACCTCCTGGAACTGATAAGATCTCATAAAACGAACCGGTCCTTTCTTCAGAGTAAGAATTTTCCGGTTTCAAGATAATTTTGAATCAGTGATGCGACAACATTTGTCAGTCAGTGAGCGATTGTTCAATGGACAGAAATATACGCCAGTATACTACACTACCTGGTGTTGTTTTATTACTGCTCCGTTTCTTGCAACATCAATTATCGCGTGATTGGATTGGTTTGTTAAACTGAAATAAATCGCTCGATACCGAAAAACCCGGTCGCTCTGTCAATACTGTGAATTCAACTACCCATGATTTTATTCACAAGACAGTTGATGAGAACACAATGAGCTGCTAACGTAAAATGTTTTCAGATGGATAATTAAACGAGTGGAGCCATGTGCAATCTGAATGAGATAAAGGACATCAAACCTCTGGGCGAAAAAAATTCTCAGTTTATGCCGGTGGTTCGAAACATTCAATTGATACTTTATGTGTGAGATGACATTCCTATGCTACTCAGGGTCAGGATACGAGAAAAACCTCCAGTTATGTATCTTTTCCATGAAAACTCGGGGTGGCTTGCGCTGGGATATCCTGATGTTTCAATCAAATTATACCCAAGGTGATGAAGAAGACACATTCTTGCATTTTTTGGTAGTTTTGCCGCTCCTGGACGTTTATTGTACTCACTTTCTATGAGTCAGTCCGTAAAGGTTTCTGAAAACGGGTCGATAGCGAACCGTTTCTCCAACGGAATTTACTGGGTGTTTCTCGGAGAGTCGAAGTCTAAAACTAACAGTACACCAAAACTATACTGGAGGCTACCTCTGTTGCATCGATACGTTTAAGTCACTCAAGAGTTCAACGCTCAGGGGTCCTTTTCTCTAGTGAATTAGTCCTTTGACAAACATTTTCCACTGCCAAAAATTCCACATCAATTTGAGGGCATAGAAGCCAGTAAGACGACAAAACCGCCACCAAAAATCCAAAAAATTTTGATTATTTAATTGGATCTCAATCTCATTAAAAGATGGTAGATAACGATAAAGCGGAATTACTCGAAAGATATGTTTTGTCGGGGAAGAACTCCAACAACTACTACGCTACGCATTTTGATGAACAATTCCGAGATCTTTGTCTTCAACGTCTGTGAAACACTCGCCGATGCTTTGAGTAAAAGTACAAATGATTCAGTAATTTTCAATCAATCAATACATTGGTAAACTTCCACTAAGTCGCCGGCTTTTGTAAAACTAGCGGGTCCTTTGGTCCTTCTGAACCGCGACTAAGATTTCATGTCATCCTGCCAAGAATGATTGTTGGCCAAGATAAAAAGTGACCGTGTATGAAAAAAGCTCCCCACACATCCGGTTTGTCTTCCTGTGTCCTCATGGCAGTGCTTAAAAGTAAAAATATTCCAATAGTGATCAGTGCTTTTGCGCAGCAACAGCAGACAACCCTTGTCTTATCTGAATACACGCTGACCCAAAGATGGAACTATATTGTATTCGCGCAGCGATCGAACACACTCAGGAGAGTGGAAAAATCTAGAATAATTTAAAATAAGCACTCTATTTGAACCGAATTACCTGCCAGCTGGAGTCAGCTACGTTCGCGGTGAACATCTGATCCTCACAAAAGGGTATGGAGCTTCAACGTATATCAAACTTCACCAGGATTACTGAGAAATCGACTTCAGGTAACAAGTACGATTTCAGATTTTCTCAGCTCATGAATGCCTAGAACAAGATTAATACAACCATTCCGATGTCGGGGCAGTTCTAACCGCTACCCATTGAGACAGTGGGTAGGAAGACTGATTGTTTCAACAAAACAGAACAGAAGATCTCACATTGCTGGTTTTCTGGGATTTCGCAAAATCTGGACTAAAGCCCGCGGATAAGCCATCAGACATCAGCATGTTCACTGAACGTATCACAACACGTTGCGCAATGTCTTTAAAAATGGCTGGAAATCGAGGGTGGGAACATTCCTGAATGGAGGGTTGTATGTTCACCAACCACGTCTTCTTCCAGAAGTACGATTCATAAAACCGTTTCTACTACATAAAATTGAAAGGTCCCTCAATCCTGTCATGGCATCTAATACGAGGCTTCAGTCAAAAAGAAGTCGTGTAAATTTCAAAAGGCACTGAAGCATGCTCTCAAAATCACCGTTTGTCTCTGACCTGAGTCTCCACTCAGCGCATTGGTTCTCGCGGACAAAATGTGACTACTTGACCGGCAAATTTAAACTCTTCAAACTGATGATAGTGATTAGGCAGGACAGATTTTTTGTGCTTGAAGCTATGATTGCAATTTCGGGTTGACAAAATGACTACCGTGAATACAACTTGACCGAGGTATGTCCCAAATTAGATGAAACTGATAAGTTGAAATTATTTGGAAGTAGCTCGCATACTACTGAACAGTCGCATTCCATTCACTTTCATTAAAGCCTTAAAATTGATGCGTCGAAGCCCAGAAAATGCGAAATTGTGTCGTAATATCAGAAATCAAATCTGAAGTGACTGAGCATACAGTAGAAGTTCTCCAGGAACAGAATACTTCCCCACCCTGGGAAAAAACAGATTCTAACCAGTTTCCTGGGAGGCTTGCTCTTGAAAAAAGATGTCTGACAAAAACCGTCTGGCATGTTTGTTACGCTAACTAATGAAAACTAATTGTTATCCGGGGCATTTTTAGTGAATCTCTTGAAAAAAGCAGAGGTTTCATGCACCCAACGGTCTTGCATCCACGTGACTTTCACGTGACTAGCGGAATGTGAACTGCTGGGAGTTCGTTCGAAATCGGCCGGTGTCACATGGGTCAGTGAGAACTAGGGATGTGTTCTTCCACCAGATGAATATCACACACGTTACGCAACATATTTAAGGATATTCTGGAAGGAACTGATTGTCAAATTGCCATAGTTGGGCTTGATTTTAATGACAGCTACTAGACAAGTAGTGTGATAGCAAACATCTGTTTTAGATGACAGCCGAGAGTGTGCTTATTTGGAATTCTCAGTTTATTTTTGTTGTGTGTTGCTTATAATTGGTATTTTATCGGTGTCCTTAAACTGCATTGTCGTGCGAATCTTTGCAATATTCAGTTGAGGAGCGCCGTTGCTGTTTCGGATGCGATTACGACGTGAACCCCTCTCGCGCGTCAGTCAGCTAATAGCCTGAGACAATTACTCCAAAGTGTATTTTTTGCGGAATTACAGCCAGATAATTTATATTCTTTAATATTGAGCGTTTTGCACAATCGTTTATGGATTAACACCCAAAAAATCCATGCTTCCCTAATTTCATCTTCGCGATTGAAGTGAGTAGGATTTCCCTGAACAATGCGTCGTTTTTAATACTTTATAAACAAATCAAGAAATATAAGACCCTGACAGCCGTTCGCGACAACGCTCCAAATGGAGAAGTTGAGCACCTTTCATTATTTCAACGATCTGTCGCCCGAGAGTAGGGCTATCAGTAGGACCGTCGGCCCTAAGCTTTCTGTGTGTTAATGAAGTCCGAGTTCCACTCCCAATTCCACAAACACTGGACCGATCATGTGACGATGTTTGGACATCCCCAATGATACTACTGATGACATCAGCATTCTGGCGACACGATTAAGCCTGTATATGAGTTAATACTGCTTAAGTTTGACAGTACGTAACATCACCAACTGTCAAATTCGCCCTAGATCGATGAGGCGGAGAAGATGATCAAAATACATCGAAAGTTGCAAACATTTTACTTTCTTACATGGCGCTGACTAACCAGTTGTAAGTAACACTACAACGACCTATTACAGTATTCATTATCGTCGGTAGAAGATTATAAAAACATTTCGCTAATTTTTTTGTTTCTTTGACGGAACCCGCTACTCGTGAATTCGCTGCAAAAGCTTCCCTAGTCCACGTCCGATTTCACTCATCTCAGGGGTCATTAGGTGAA